AATTTACTTTCATCTGCAACATATTTCAAATTGTTGGTTGTTTAATTTCGTTTATACTGCTGCTTAACATCAGTAAATTTCCAGAGAGAATTCCCCCCAAATTACTTCATATCCTGCAATGAATTTCATGAAATGAAAAAGAAGACAGGACACCAGGGAGACTGAGATCATGGGGTCCAAGGGTCTAATTTAGTTCAGTGTCTAAAATAACATAACATAATAATATATATGCTGTTAAGATAACATATCTTTAAAGGAATAAGGTAAGGTAGTAGGGAGTATATGGTTTACTTCTGCCTAAGTTATGCTTGATAGCAAACTACCCCCAAATCTACAAGGTTTTTATCAAGAAAGGATTTATTTTGTCACCTTTGTGAGTCATCTTTATTGGTTCTCCATTTCTTTTTTATTGTGATCCAATTTTAAAGAGTAACCTTTATATGAGGCAAGCATTATCTGGCAGAGAAAATGAAAAATAATTATAGAACCATAAAACTCGTAAACTTCTCATAAATCTCATAAAAATCTATTTAGCTGTGGCTTATATTTTTTTTATCTGCTCATCCTATTAGCCAAAGCTAGTAATGTAGCAAAAACTTGAAGTCAATGTGGAAGGAAATAACTCTTCTCACTGGTGACCCAGAGGAAAGGGTAGCAAAAATGTTTGAACAAATGATATAATCTACCACAGAGAGGAGTCAGAAAAGAAGCTAAGTATTCTCTTTCTTCATGATATAGATCCAGTTGTCCCTGCTTCCCTATGAATGGATTGTTTTTTTGAAACTTCCACTTAGAAATTAAGAAAACTAAGCCAAGTGTAAAAAAAATGCATATATCTGAAGATAAATTAATCATACAGATACTCTGACTTTAAACTCATACTAAATACCATTAGAGCATGTCAGTATTGTTAAAATGAACATGATACTAAATTTGGCTAAAAATGAGGCAGCTGGACTGTAGCTGGTTGTATTTTGGTTTACAACCACATGATATGTTTTGTTCATTTACTTTTGTCCTTACTCTTTACCCTGGGCAGATAAAGCTAAGAGCAAAGAACAGAGGCTTTGTGTGACTTGCTGAATATATGTCTTAACCCAAAGGAGAGAAAATATTCTTGAAATCTATGGCTTTAAATTGTGAGAACTAGGATCTAAAGCAGGAACATATTTTTAATTACAAAATCTTGGTCAAATGTTAATAGACATGACCAGACAATGTGCCTGTCTCTCAGCAGAGGACAGTCAGGGCAGAGTGCAGCAAGTGGTCCCCATGTCCATCCCAAGGGTTCAAGTGCCCTAGGGAGAAGAGAAGGAGTGAGGGCAGGGAACATTTGAACTGCCTGAGTTAACCTGAAAGTGGCCAAATTTTAACTGGTAATTAAGTCAGTAGCAAATAGGCAAAGCTGTATTTTTCACATCAACCAAAATAGGGACTTAAGAGTAAAATTAATTGTTAGTGATGAAATAAATACAGAAGCAACTAGGTACCCATGTTTGTATATGTCATAAATATCATGCAGAGTTTCAATGAATGTAATTTGACAAAGTCTAGATACCATTTGTTTTACATCTGAAATCTGAAAATGTATTGTTTTCATTTTTAAAATCAGTTTTCAGAAATTCACTTTCAGGAAAAGCAAATCACAAGCTGTACATGATTTAGATTTTGGATAAAAGGATGAAAACTGAGGCAAAGAGTGGAGCTCAAAGATTCATCCCTCCCCCTAATCCAATTAAAGACCTTGGCAGTCACACTTTGTATGAAAGTAATTGGTTGAAATATGAAATAATGGAAAATATAATTTTCCACATGCTTTGGAGTAGACAGAAATACATGAAATGAGTGTTCAATGTGATAAAACTTAACTTTGTTTTGGATGTTTGTCCACACTTCTGTATAATTTCTTTTAATATCTTTTCTAATTTTGATGTTCTGTCCTACAATGTGTACTCTTCTCACAGTGCCTTTAAGGAACCAACTTCCTTCCAGATTTGTCACTTCAAATAGGGTTACCTGAACTTGTTGAAACATTTAATATCTTTTAGTGGACAAAATTCTTAATGGATAAAATTAGGAAATGTTTTTTTAATACATAGGGCAAGTAAAGATAAAAAAATGACTATTTCTTGGACAAGAAATAAATAAACTTACAGGAAGAGCCTGAAATATTATTTGAATTTTGTGAAAGTTGGAAAGAAAAAAATAACAGAACATGGTGAGGAATGAAATGTAGAGTGCCTAGTATTAGGTGGGTACTGGAACATCTAGATAATGACTGGATACAAAGAACTTTAAGATATAATGGTATATAGTCAAATTGTTGGTAAGAAAATCTTTTTATACAAATAATTCACACTTAGAGTTGTACACAATAGAAAGGTGAACTAGTGAGACAGGAAGAGGGCAGGGCACAGCCATTCAAGGAATGCCACAGCAATTAACATGAAAATGGTGAAAGATACAACCCCTAGTAGGCCTTGAGGCTCAAGATGGTGGGAGATTTGACTTCTAGCAGATCTTGAGCTTCATTATATGCTCATTGTAATATATTAACATGATGAATAGCATGCCCACAGGCACCATGGCAGGCCCAAGGCTAGCCATAAAAGGTCAAAGAGTGGGAAATGGCCAACTTCCTAGGGAATCCCAACCCTTTCCCCAGGCTACTTAGACTGTTCCTTCCACTTATTAGCATATGAAGCCACCAAGTCCATAAAAACTGGCAACACTGTACCTCACAGCCGCCCCCTCTCTCTCACTCGTTGGAGATGGCCCACACTCTGTCTATGGAGTGTGTGTCTACTTTTAATCTGAGCACCCAACCCCCACACCTCATGGCCTTTCTCTTGCCTTTCAATATATCTCTCTGAATAAATCTACCTTGACTCAACTGTGGCCCGCTCTTGAATTCTTTCCTGTGTGAAGCCAAGGACCCACACTTGGCAGGGCATGTCCCAGGGACTCAACCAAAGCCTGGGACACGTCCCTCCTCATGCCCCACATCCGTTTTTCCTGTATCACTAGTAATAAAACCTCCAAAAGCTCACACAAGCCTCGGGGAGAGAAAACCTGAGTCTGCAGAGCCCTTAAGTAGCAAAGTCAGGCTGTGTTATCTTAACAGTAGTTCATGTCAAGTGCCCACATTCTCATCAGCACAAGAATATCCAATTATGTGTAAATTACATGGAAACAAAATGGTAAAAAGTCTTCATTGATTCCACATGCAACTTAAATATGAAATCAATGATCTTTGGGAAAATAATTTCAGCCCAGCCGGGGCTCTTTCAGTTAGGGTTCTTTACAGATAAAAATAAGAGATTTCTTAAATGACCTTAGGGGGAAAAGGGAACTTATAAGAAGGGGATATGTTCTTGAGTACTTAGGAAAACTTGAACTAGGCCTGGGGAAGGACCGTCGCTGTAGAGCTCAGGCATCACTCTCTCATCTCTTTTGCTCTCACACTTGACTCTTGCTTTCATTCTTTCCCTATTTCTCTCTCAGAGGTAACACATTCTCTTTCATTTATTCCTTTCACCATTCTAGCTTTCTCCACATAATTATCTTGTACACACCATTTGGCTGTCAGCACTCCTGCCTTCATGGCTTTTTAGTTAAGAGCCTGGCATTTACTGTATGCTTTTTTTCTATAGCTCTTAGTTCAAGTTTTCAAAAAGGAAATCCGATTGGCTAAGCGTACCTCTGTCTGAGTAGAACCTGTACATTGGCCAAAAAATGAATCAGTGTCCACTCCTGTCCAAAAACAGGCAATTTCCTCAACAATCTGAACAAAAAGGGAACACTGAATGTGCTAGAGTTGCAACGTGTGAGGTAATAAGGGGTAATAATTATATAACAAAGTTCTGTTAAAAATAAAGTTTCAACACATAGCAAAGTTTTGTTGTGGTGTAAAACCCAGAATACAGGTGAGAAAGAAGTATAGAAGAGCATTTAAACATCTGTGCTCTGAATTCAGACTACTTGATTGGAATCAGAGCTCCACAAACCCATGAAATGGTCATGTAGAGAGGGCCTTCTGCATAAACTAGCTGTAACAATTAAATGAGGTAATTTATATGACAGACACTTAGGAATTATTCAATAAGTACTAAAAACACACAAGAGGAAAAATTACTCCTTACCCAGAGGTCAAAGAAAAGAAGCAAGAAAAGTTGAAGGTAGAGAGAGAATCAGAGATGGAAAAGACAAACTTTCTGACGGACTTTCTGATCAAATGACTTCAGCCTTCATGGCAAAGTAGATTCTACCATTTTATAAAATCTTAGTCTGATATAACCATATTTCCATTACAGGATTAACTTCAGTGATAGCCAAATACAGTAGAGCAAGCTAAGTGATGCCTTCTAAATATTTACATATTGTGTAAAATAATAATTATAACATAAACAACAACAATACGCATGATCATTAACATTTATTGAAGGTTTGGAGGCCTGTCTTAAGAGCTTTATATATATATTTATATGTATACATACATGTATATGTATTAATCCATTTACTGCTATCTAATCTAGGAACTTTTATTATCATTATTTTAGGGAAAAAGAAACCAAGGCACAGAAAGTTTAAATAATTGACCAAAGTTGCAAAGCTAGCAAGTAGTTGAGGCAGGGTTCACAGCCTGACATTCTGCAACAGGCAATAATTTATATTTCCTCTCTAAGCAGAGGAAATTTCAATAGCACTCAAATTTTTTTCATAAATACAGTGACAATACAGATGAAATAATTTGAAGAGGATAAGAAAATAAACTGCAAAAAGGGCTCATTTTATTAACTAACAATGTAATGACAAAAATATAATGTTTAAAAAATATGTAGCTCTGGGGAAAAAGTGTGTTTTTTGTAACTGATGACAAAAAGAATCCTGGAAAGAAAAAGGAATAGTAATTTTGAAATCTTAGTGTAAGCTGATTCCTTTGTCTGTTTCCTCCATAACAGAAAAGGCTTTTGAAGAGTTTGGCAAAATTAGCCTAAAAAGAGTTGGAGTGACCTAAACAGGAAGCCTGGCTATTCCCAACTGCCAGTGATCTCTGAAACCGGCTCTGAGGCTCCTCTTTGCTCCAACAGACAGAGGGACTTTGGGCTGGATAAACGTCAAATTCTTACCTCGCCCTTTCACCGCTGGCAGGATCAGATTGCATTTCTTTCATTATTCTCCATTCTCCAGTTTCTTGATTTGTTTAAAAGAAGAAGTAGAAAAGATAAATCCTCTCTTCAATGCCTGGAAGGGAACACAAAATGACTTCAACTCCGCTTTGAAAAAAATCTTTCCAAGAACTTTCTTCAGAGATTTAACTCGTGAGTACTTGGCAATATACTTTCTAGCCCACGAGAAATAACCTTTATTTCTTTTTCTTGGGTGAAAAGCAGGGTACTGAGAGGCAAAGACTTGCAGGAGAGAACCATTGTCTGTACCCTACAATGAAAATCCACCCTTCTCTGTAAACAAACTCATATTGCAATGCAAAATTAGATCTCAGCACTTTGCATTTAGTTCTTAGGCAAATATATATGCAATATATGCTTATGCTTTTAAGATCGTGAACATTTCTTTTTTAAGTTGGTGAGATATAGCCTTCTTAATAATTTTATGCTTGTTGCGGCAATTCTTCACAAATTATGTCTTTAATTGGAATTTTCTAAAGAATATTTTACGTTTAAATATTATTTAGTAACATATAAAGAAATAAAATAAAGAGGCCATCTGGCAGAGTTATGTTTAAAGAAACATCTTTCATTGTCATTAATTGGTGATATTTAAAATGAGATATAACCATGAGAATTCTTATTGTCTAAATTAAATATTTCATGCCAGCATTAGCTAATTTCTCTAAGAAAATATTTTACAATTCTACAAAGACAAAAGTTCACATTTTGAGATAACTTACATAAGAATAGATAGGATTATATTATATGTGGTACAATTACATAAATTAAAGCAATAGATTACATACCTATATGATGTACTGTCATGTTCTTGTTGCTTATAAAACAATATTAAATTTAACTTCTGATAGTAAAGGAAACCACAAAATATACAAGTACACAACCACAAAACTATAATGAGACAAAAAGTTATTTAACTCTGGAAAGAGCTCATTGGAATAAGAGCATTACAAAAAAATGAGAGCTAAGAGCAGTGTCGTGCAGAAAAAAAAGAGAAGATAAGCAATAGCCACACTGTGACTCAGTGCTCTGGAAATTAGTCACAAGATGACTTTGTATAACTGTGATAACATAAACACAAAGGGCAGAACCCAGGCAGGAAACATACAGCCCAGAAAGTCATATTTTATGTGTAAAAGCATAATATTTACGTCAGAGAGGAAGTTTTGTCAATTTTGAGATATTGCAACATTTTTTAACCTGGTAAGAGCCTTTCATAAAACACTTTTAGGATTGTTTTATATTCATCATTCTAGTGCATGATTATTTCAGGCTATATTATCTATGTCTTACCTAATCCTTAAAGTGTAAATAATCTCTTTAAAAAGTGAAAATTCTCAATAAAGGCTATCTCCAGCCACCTTTTTTTGTATACCATCTAAAACATTTAGCTCAGGGAATTTGATTTGCAGAATTGTCTTTTTAAAAATATTTCTAAATGCATTATATGTTTTGGTAGAGATCTACCAATACTATAATTATTTCTGATTATTGTAATGTGCATTGGGAGAAATCTGAATTCAAGATATGGAGTGACTCTTGAAGTCCTTGTTTCGGGATAGTAAGTCTCACCAAAGTGAAGAAGGGGTGCAAGTTACTCCAGTGAGTTTTTGGGTTTTGTTTTTTGTCTTAGTTTTTAAAAATTTTAATGCTAGATCATCTCTCTTGGGTCTCTGAGATCCTCAATAATTGCTTTCTTGGTGTGAGGTATCATTTCCAGGAGCCCAGTTTTCCCATTACCCTTCTCTTCCTGTCTTCACTTCTCCAAGTGGCAGGTGCCGGGTAGAACCAAAACTACCAATAGGATGAGGGCAATCTAGTCATTTCCACTTTTCTTCTTTCCAAAACCAATAACAAAAAAGCACTGAATGCATGTCAAATCTGCTATGTTCACCTCTCTTCAGGCCTTCCTTTGGAATTCTATATTCTTTCTTAGTTGGAACAACCACATTTTTAAATTATTTTAAAAACAAAAGGGTAAAAGGACATCATGGTCATGGTAGAAATCCCAGTGTTGTGATATTTCTCTCTCAGTTGTTCCATCTGGTACATGTCCCTGGGGAGACGCTGACTTTCTGTAAAGAATTCCCCAACTGAAGTGTGATGGTAGCATTCTTTCTAGACTGAATAAATATTACATGTTTTTGATTAGGCCATTTCAACATCAGGAATGTGAAAGTTATCATCAGTATAGCCCTGATAAAAAGTTTTTTTACCAAGCATAGTGTGCCTGTGACTGTACCACACCGTCAGTGCCACCACCATCCTGCTGCCAACCTCATTCTATCTCTCCTAGTCATGATTCTTATCGACATCTACCCCATCCTTGAATCTGGCAATAATCCATCTCTTAGCATTACCTCATTCTTCGTTTTGCAAGGCTTTAGGAATGGAATAACTCTCAGAAATTGGGTTAATCTCTAGAATAATAGTGTTTATTGCAAAATTTTGGTAACATTTTTTTAAGTTCATCTATGAAGAAACTTCCGAGTATCCCAGAAAATGAATCAAAATGATTCTATCAAAATATCATATGCCTACTCTTACTCTTTTATGTGCAACTGACCTCAAATACACATGACTATAAAATGAATTTCTGATTCAAGCTACATGAATAAATTTGAAAACATGCCAAGTGAAATAAGCCATGTACAAAAGAACAAATAGTGTATAATTTCACTCTTCTGGAATATCTAGAATAGGCAGATTCATAAAGAAAGAAAGTTGAATACAGTTTACTAGAGTCTGGAGGAAGGGATGAATGTTGAGCTATTGCTTAATGGATACGAGTTTCTGTTCAAGGTAATGAAAAAGTCTGGAAATAGATAGTAGTGATGATTGCACACTAATGTGAATGTAATTAGTGCCACTGAGTTGTACGCTTAAAAATGGTTAAAATTGCAAATTTCATGATATATTTATTTTACCACAATCAAAAATAGTAAAAGGAAAATAGTAGTATTTTGGGTTTTTTCTGTTTTCAGTTTATATAATTTCTATCATCATGTCTTTACTTATCTTTTCTTCTATGTCTAATCTGTTTATATCCCCTTTAGTGTATATTTAATCTCAAATATTGTTGTTTTCATCTCTAGAAATTCAATTTGAGTCTCTATCTTCTTTCCCTGTTTAATACACTCAATATTTTCTCTAGCTTCTTGCACATATGAATGCAGTTAAAATTATACACCTTGTAATTTTTATTTGAATGCCTGATATTATGAATTTTCCTTCTGGGGTGCATTCCTATAAATAATCTTGAACCCTATTCTAGAATGTAGTTTAATTACTTGGAAGCAATTTAGTATTTTGTTATGTCACTGTCAAGCTTTGCTAGGCAAAATCAGAGAAATATTTATTCTATGGTTAATTTTTCACCAGTACTGAGGAGAAAACATTCTGATGACTCTACTGGGACAAGAAATATTCACAGCTTTATATGTGTTCTAAGTTTTATCCCTTCTAGTCCTTTGAGGTGGTTCTTTACCCAAACTTGAGTACTTTTCCTTCATGCGTGCACTGATCAATATTAAGCTGAAGACTTGAGGATCGTCCAAAGATTTCTGATCTCTACTTCTGCATAGCTCTCTACTCTCTGTTTCTCTACCCTGCATATTCCAGATGCCTTGGCCTCTCCGGACAATGTACTTTGTCTCCTAAACTCAGGGAGATCACCAGGCAATCCCAGAATCACCCTTCCTGAATTTCAGTGCGGAAACTCCCTTTAGTCAGTGTGCTGGAGCAAATTGGAATATAGGGCTGAATCATGTTACTCATAGTTGTGGGATCTCTGCTTTTCACTGGCCAATACTTAATTAGCTGAAAACCATCATTTCATATATTTTGACTGTTTTATTTTTTAAGCTGTTTCAGGTGGGAGGATAAATCCAATGTTAATCTATTGTGGCTGGAAGTAGAAGAGCTATTATTTTTAAATTATATTTTAATGATATCCTAAGAAATAAAAATAAACTTAAGTAGAAAGGAAAATTTTAAGGGCATATACACTGTAATTCATTCATAGTCCTGGATAAGATAAAACATTTTTTGCCTGCTGTATCTCAGCAATTATGCTAGATAAGTAAATACATTTACATGTTTATAAATGAAAAACTTAAATTCACTATTTCTGCAAAATAATTATTTCATCTCAGATAAGCAGCTTGATTCATTATGTTTTTCTGATAACAGTAGCTGTTGGGCAGCTAATATTTTACTCTCTTTTATTTTAGATGACAAATGAATTCTACAAGGCTAAAACCAATCAAGTTGTCACTTGAACAGGCATTTCCAAAACTCTGAGTGCTGAGTGTTATTTACCTAAAGCCTCCAGAGTTTTATAACGAATTAAAGATTGCCTTTCCTGATAACTTCTTATCACAGTTTCTCATAATTATCTTCCTTCCCTGCTTCCTGGATACTTCTGTTGACAGCTCAGAACGTTCACTGACAGCACATATTAAAACTTTCTCTTTTTATGAAAGGAAGCTTAGTTTCAGGTGTTTCCTGCTTAATTATATATACCAGTTGAGGTAAATAGATAGTCCGAAATGACAAGCATTATAGACAAAATGTATATGTAGCATTAGAATTTGTTTTTATACTTATGTAAGAGTGTACATAAGTATAATAATAAGTAAATTATCCAAGTTTCTATGCATCTTATTTGAGTTCTATGGTTTTGCTCTCCTTTAACGTATTCAGTCTATGAGGAAAGGAAGCAGGTAACACAGTAAGGAAATGGGTATGACATCCACATCCTGGCACTAATGCAAGTTATCAAAAAATTATGAGATAAGCAATTTCTCTTAGAGACACTCAGGCCCTCCTTTCAATGCCAATCATTTTATTCAACTTCCAGACTTCCCAGGATTAACATCTTTTTGTACGTTTTTCTCCTAAATAGTTGAAGAATGTGCCAATGGAAGAAAAATGTTTAAGTAGGGAAAATTTAGATTAGGTTCAATTCACGTGGAGATCAAAGAAAGACAAGTGACCATCTGTCCTTCCTAATAGGTACTGGAAGCCTCATGTGATAAGGCATGAGTGAGTGGGAATTCATGGATGTTCCTCAAAAGTGTGTGCGAAGAGATATCTGGGCATGCATGTACTGCACTTTAGAAGACAATCTG